GTTGTTGATGATGATTTCACACTAACAGATGCGGGGCCACCACAATTTGGCACTGAGAGATCGGTAGTCTTCTCACAATCAAACGGATCGGTCATCAGCGCATCACGCGCCTCGAACACGACCTTGCGCCTCAAATTATTGTTGTGGGGAACCATATTCCGTATCTAGTTGTCATGCGCAACTTTAAAGTGAAGGAGGTTGTTCTCTAATGCATAACGATGCATCTGTGATTTGAAGATTATCATGGAGATCCATATCACTCGATGAGAGTGCCTTGATGATCAGACCACACATTTTATCCTCAATATACACTCGACGTACCATACTGGATACATCGATTTCGATATAGCTAAAATAAGCTAGCTCGTAATCCGGACGACGTAACAATGCGTCAGCCAGTACGTTCAGTTTTGCCAGTTTATACGCAACCGTGAAGTAGCATTCTGCGAAGAATGACAAACAGCGAGCCTTCCGGTGTATCGAGTGAGGAGACTGAATTGCATATTGCAAGCTTGCGTGACCCGTGTAAAGACAAACGAAGTTGAACCCACGAGGGGAACATGAAATTCATCAGAGCATACTTTATTGCCAAATGCTCTTTTTCGTAGACGAGTAGTTCTTTTCTGCTGGCTCCAGCTGTCGCGATCAAAGCGATACGACACGATCGTGTCCTTCTAAGACTTTGAGAATAGCGTACATCCGATTGCAAGTTCAGAAGCGTCATTCACTACGCTATCCGGCTTCCTATCATCTGGTAATGCAAGTAATAGTGCTTCCATCAAGTGTTCTTGATTTAAGTGAATGATTCTTCTCAAGTGGATGGCCACTCCAATGGTACATCCTTCTTCAGCAGGTCTAATAGTGGGCGAACCATTTCCGCGTAGTTACGCGAAAGGCGATGCAGATAATTACACAAACCAATCCGCTTTTTAGATGCTTTTGCTTCCGTGGTATTGGCCACTACACGATTGCTTTGATCTTCCCACTATCTGCTCGAACACCGTTTTCACCGACATAATAACCAATGACCAGTACTTCTTTCGTAGCGATAATACACTTTGCGAGATTCGCTTGGATTGAATCTTCACGCAAACATTTTAGCACTGAAATGATGTGCTTCATTTGCATTTCGTCGGTAGATCTGCCATTTTGTCCTTCGATTGTACGAAGACCTCATCAAATAGTTTGTGTGAAACGCCGCAGTGGTCGAACAGATGTGAGACTAATCGATTGAAGATTTCTGAAGCACCAGATAATCCACTCCCCTAACATTTTGGGCGGTGTACTAACAGCCGTCAAAGGGATGACCTTTTCCCTCATCACGATTTGGTAATATCCATCAACCAAATCAAGTGCGCTAAATGTATATAGCCGGACATACGGTGGATAATGACATCCATACGCAGAAACGACGTTTGAGCGGGAATCGTCTGCGTGAACAATACGCCATTGACCATTTGGTTTATGCACACAAGACTTCCGTTGCTCCGAGGGGACTTGCTCTCCCTCACCAAACCAGCAGCTAGCTCTTGACCAAAGAAGTCATCGATATGTGCACTTTGCTCACGCGACCGTGACCACTATCGAGCACTGCATGCTTTGAACCAGGTTCACGATCAATTTCGTGTCGAACGCTACGTTGGGATGGAAGATCAGAGGACGGCTTCACACTAAGGGCGCCGTCCTTGTATTCCGTACCAAGTGAATAAAAAGGATCATCTGGATACTTCAAAATTGTAGATCGTCTGCGTGATCCCACACTCTTTCGAATTGTTTTATAATCAAATTATTCATAGCTAATGACGAGCATGATTCCACTTAATCGACCTTCGACTGTAGTAACACAACTTCCGCAATACCATCACACTTGAAATCGTGTAGAAAGTCATTTACGATGACTTCCTCATGCTGCACCAACTCTTCCATCCTCAGTAAAGCTGCCCAAAGTTGATTCCTTCACCTGGATCAGGGTCGACGCCCGGCGTCTTGCAGCAAGCATACGGCGTCGCCGTCGCCTCTGTACAGAGGTTCTATGTTGCGGTGAGACCAGAATGAACACGCACTGCGCGTCGTCCCGTGTCACCCTCACTTTCCGCTCCTTTGGGGCTCCGATGTTATCTACAACATCCGACGAAGAACTGCTAATCCCGCAGTCTTCGTCCAGTGGAAAACGTACCTCTCCACGCGCATCTGAAGGGCCGTGCCCAAGATGCCTCGGACTCTGTCCGACCACGCCATCAATGGCATGCAGCGACTGCTTCGCAACGAGAGCAGTGCTCAGTGGTTTACGTGCCACTCCACGCGCGTCTGAAGAACCGTGCCCAAGATGCCTCGGACTCTGTCCGACCATGTCACGCATGACATGGAGCGACTGCTTCGATACTCGAGCGGCGCTCAGTGCTTTACGTACCGCTTCACGTGCATCACGGGGGCCTCGACCTTGG